AACACAGGCACGGGAAATCAAAATATCAGATCAGAAATAAAAAAAAAACAACAATGTAGAATACTGGGTATCATATTCAGATTTTCTACCACGGAAGCCAGTTGTCTCGATTTGCTTGAACCTCAATTTTTTAATACATTTTTTAATTCTCTTTCTTTACTGAGCTACATTACTGTAACCATTTTCACTCATGCACTTGAGCCTAGACACAAACACAAAGTGAGTTCAGAATCACTTACCCTAGCACTGGCAGTCAGGATGTGATCACACGAAGATGGTTAGCAGCCTGCTGAGTTAACGCAGAGTTTACCCTGTGCGTGCACATTTACTGATAACTGTACTGGCCACAGAAGGGCTGATTTTCCAAATCAAGATTAAACTATTAAACATGTAGCGCTTTGGTCAGTGAGACTGGGAAAAAGTTACTGTGTTAATAAGTTTGGCCTATTTGAGGCCAAGAAAATAAGTGAGCAAAAATGCTGAATCTAAGTTAACAGACCTCAGAACAGAACTCTGTCATTAAAACATGGAAGAATCTGATGCATTAAAATCAAGTAGTTTGATAATTCAAGCTTTAAATTCAGTTTTTATTTTTTCAGCTGCAGCCTCAGTGTTGTCTGCCAATCTGAGAATAAATGATAAATATAAAAACAAAATTAAAACGTAGCTTAGTCTATTTGGTTATTTGAAATAAGGTCAAGTACTATTAGGTGCTCTGCTTTACAATCAGATATTGACGCTTATACATAAATATAATTGTAGTTATAAAACAATAATTAATTATATCAATAAAAGTCAAGGAATAAAGTTACATATGGGAATCTGTATTCAGTACCGTTGTTCATCGGGGAAACCCAAAGTCATTAGAAAAACTTGAGACCCTCTTAGTGTCTGTGCACAGAAATCCGAGGGATCTTCCTGGAATGGTGACACTATTTTCTGGAGAACTGATTCTTTCCAAAAGATGTCAGCGTCTGCATGTCCAAACTGTCAAGTAGTGTTTCAATTTAGGGTTATGGGGTGAACTGGAGCTTTATCCACCTTCCACTGGGCGAGGTGCACTGTTGATGTGTTGCCAGTCTAATACATTGGTCGTGCATAGAGACAGACAACTATTCAAACTTAAGGCCAATTTAGAACCATTCATTAACACAGCATGTATACCGTTAGGCTCTGGGTGAAAGCTTAAATACACCTATACAAACACAGAGAGAACATGCAGTGTGCATTTTTCCTGTCCTGTCGCCATGCTAGCCCCCCAATCCTGGTGTTTCCAAACAATCTGAGTCCATAGAATTTCCAAAACTCAATTTTAGTGCTCCTGAAATGCCAGAATAGTATGGGAGCTCAGCATAAAATCAGTTTTAGCCATTATTATGGGGTTGAACTTTGGTTCATAGAGGCAATATTAAAAAAAAGGCACTGCAGCTATGAGAAAAATGTCTAGTCATCATGAAAGCATTATTCTAAGTCCCCAAACTATAATGAGCCTGTTAATGGGTCTAATAAAAACTGTTTAACCAAATATTGAATTGCAAAGTTCTTTCAGATTTTTATGTTAACAGTTTACTTTGGAGTTTTCTGTGATTGTGTTTGAAATGTATGTTTTGTGTGTTTGTTTATAACACATCTTTAATGTGTACTGTGATCTTTAAGCCTAATCGCTCCAAGAACTATGTGAATAAAAATGCTGCTGTGTTTACTTGATCAAATAATGTCTGCTGCCTTGTGTGTCCCTGTCCAGTGTGCTGCTGTTTCCTCCCTTACCCAGCAGACTGCGATACCTGATTCACAAAATCATAGAAGACCTGCCAGAGCTCACCACCTTCTCAGTAGGGGAGAGCTGGTGCCGTAGGGTGGTGGTCTGCCCTTGTGAGCTCAGGTTTGTTGGCCAAACTTTGGTCTGTATGTCTTATGCATTTTTGAAAAAGACGATTATTAACTTTAAGAAAAAATGTTTCTGTAGGAGTGAGGTAGAGGAAGACAGCGACTTGGAGAGCAACAGCAGCTTGTGTGAAGAGCCCCTAAGTATTAGGGAAGAGAGGGAACGCAATATCAAGCCTAAACCTTCAATCCCACCACGAAGCCGAGCACCTAAGAGGCCCGACAAGCCCCTCTACATGCCACGAGCCGCTCGAGAGAGGCTGTCGTTACGAAACTCACAAGGCTCCACAGCTGGCTCTGAGTCATTGAGTTCAGCTTGTGTTGATAGAAGCTCTGTCAACAGTTTGTCTGACTCTTGTACTTGTCCTGAATCTATAGAAAACACAAAGCACTCACTATCTAAACAGGAATCATTCCCCAGTGTAGCAGACAGAGTCCCTAAACTGTCTGCAGACAGTTCAGCAATGTGTCCTCATGAAGAAGAAAAGTTGGTGCTCAGGCTGGATGAAGATGAAGCTTCAGTCTTGGAACAGACTCAGTCCCAGTTTGCTGAACTGACTGTGGAGGAGGATGAGAAGGAGAAGGACGAGACTGCAAGTGTGTCACGCAGTCTCCAGACAGAAGACGCAAGCACAGACAAAGATGGTGTAACTGCAGAGGTCAGTTCTCACAGACTTAATTTCATGGTGTGGATGTATGCATACAGTCTTTTAGTGTTGCTGTACTTGCTGCCTTTTGGATTAATCTGTGCATTTCAGAAACTTAAATATAATGGTAACATTACATATATGTGTTTCTTATTTTAGATCAAGGCACATCTAAAAGAAGGAGTCTCTGTTGCCATTGAGCACGTCCACAATGACTACTCTATGTATGAGAATGTTTCCATCGACTCAGACGACTTTCGCCACGTGATTGAGATCTATGACTTCCCGGTTATGTTCAAGACCGACGACCTTCTTGATGCTTTCTCAGAGTACAGGTGAGAGATGACACACCTGTTCACTGCTCTGTCCCTTTGTTTCCAGTCATATTTTATTTTACAATGTGGCCCACGTACCAGTGAAAGTTCTCTTTGTGAAAGGAGTTTAATGACACATTTAATCCCTCAGATATTTTAATATTAAAAAAAAAAGGAAATATAATTTCAACAACACATCTCAGTTTTTCTGCATGATAAAGAAATGCTGCTTTGGGCAAAAAGTGTAAAAAATAAATATGTATGAATGTTACAGAAAAAGTTCTGTTAGGTGTGCAGACGGCCTTTTAATTCAAATGAAATGAAATGAAAATGATCATTTTTGTTACAGAATGTCCTCTTTTTAAAAAAAACAAAACAAAAACCCTTTGAACCTGCTATAAAACCCATAAATTTCCACAGTTGATAGTGAAAAAAACTGGACATTTCTGTTATTCAATGGTTTGTCTATTAGTTATTTACTTTGGTATAGTATGAATGGTCATGCATGAGGTCTTTATCAGTGGGAAAAGCTATAAAACATGTGAAAACACAGTTAAATGTCTAAAATTTACGTCCTTCTTCCCATTTTCCAAAGCTGTCCAAGATTGCTAGGCCAGATTGGCTGATCCTGGCCCCCAGACCTTATGTTTGACACCCTTTGTCTAGAGTGTTCTGCTGTGAAACCATATATAACCATATATAATTCATTGTACACAACAAATCTGTCAATGCTTTCAACTGTCACCTTTAATATGAAACGTACATGAATGTATATATTCTAAAAATGTCACTAAAAACTGAACCTTAATATGGTACAATTACACAGGTATATATTACTTTAGCTATCTCAGTTTTCGTTGAAACCGTCTGATGTAAATCCAGAAAATATCTCACCCTCAACCGACTGATGTGGCCACAAAATTGCTTAAAGTGCTCTCTGTCTGCCTCAGTGATGGTGGAATGAAGATCAAGTGGGTGGACAACACACACGCTTTAGGGATTTTTTCCAGCGAGTCAGCAGGTGAGTGCTTTGACTGCACGATGAATGAGATGTTGGGTTTGAGGTTTAAAGCTTATGATGTGAATAAAAAAAGAAATGTGTCTTCTTACAGCACTCCATGCTCTCTCTATCTGCCACCCACTGCTAAAGGCGCGAGCACTGGCTGATGGGAGTAAAAAAGCTCAAGGCAAGGCCATCAGACGAGCAGGTGGGAGATCCATAGCAGCGATATATAATGTATAATATGGCGTTTTTATTTTTTTTTTAACAATATGGTTGTTTATGTGCCTCCTTCCAGAGTTCATCCAGCCAGTGAAGGAACGTCCGAGGACACACTGTGCTGTTGCTAGGCGGATGGTAACCAGAGCCTTGGGCATTCAGGGGCGAGGCAGAGTGCAGCGATATTGAGGAGTGCCAACATCCACTACAGGTGAGCGCGTTAATAACAGCGACAGGTTAGGTTTTAGGTTCCCGCAGCTCACATGTTGGAAATATTTTTATGACACAGAAGCACTTGTTGCTTGTCAAGCATTTCATTTTATTGAAAACGTAATGCTTTCCCACATTCATCCATGCATACAAAATAAAAACAGACAGCAACCAACAAGTATCCTTGAATTGCCACATTTAGAAAAACAAAATGTACAAAACCACGAAGAGGCATTTTCACATACATGTGTGGTTGTTACAGCACTTCCACAATGTAATCAAATTCCCTGATGGTAATAATTTAACACAACTCAGACACCGATAAAGAAAGGGAGAGGATGTGCAGAACAAGAAGATGAAAATGTGTGTGTGGTGTGAATAAATTAAAAATATTTTCAGAAATGTATGTGTCAAGTATGTGAAAGGCTCTTTGCAAGATGTTGGTACATTAAGTGCACGGAGGCTCTAATAGAAATTTTAAAATGAATCCTGTTTTCAGTTTGTTATAATGAATCCCTCTGAGAGCAGGAGTTACTTATCAGACATGCTGTATCCACAGATTGTAGCACATTGCTCTGCAGAGATAATCATAGTCATGTAATGTATTATTATTAAAACTGCTCACAGTTTTGAGTCAGTAATTCCTTTAACTATTTACTGTTGAGGCAAATGTCTCTCGGTTCAGCTGCGAGGCAACAGTACAGGCTGTAGCACCAGATTAAGCACAACACTATTTTCACCCGTTCAAACAGAGCTCAGTCCAAGAGTCGTGGTCTCTCATGTCGTGATTTTTCTTTGGTTTAAAATGTTCTCCCAAACACTGGAAACTTTTACGCAGGCGGCCCTCGTTGGCATGGGTTATTTAACGAGTTACCTGGCTACAATCCTCATGGCATCTCTCCTGGTAAATAAACATCAGATCAAATCTACACTGTACTAACACTTTTTGAACATCTGAATGCAGTTAATGGTTTAGTAAGCAAGCATTTCATTTTCCCATTGAGTCATTGTTTATTGTACCAGATGAGCCCAGAGCTCACAACAATCCAGCACTGCTCCAAGGAAGCACATCTGCCCAGGCCCCCCTCTAGTGGTTGTCAAATATTAGTCTGCACCCCCCCATCCACCAATGCTGACCTGTCCTTCTCAGGTCTACCTGTGAGAAAGCTGGTTGGTAAGCAATCCAGGAAACGTTTCCTCCGTTTCTGAACTCAGTGTGCCACCTGTTAAGTCAGACAGGAAGAGGACAGTGAAGAGATTAGCAACAAAAGCCAAATGTTCTAGTTAAAGATCTCCTTATTAAACCCTTTATAAAGCTCCCGGGTAAACAGATGAATGTTAATTAAAGACAGTAAAAATTGCTTTAAAATGGATAAAAGTGCACCATTTGTTCATGAACGGTGATGTAATGTGATGATAAAGTGATAGCACAGCTATAAAAAAAAAATCCAGTTTGTGATTTTTTTTTTTTTACACTAAATTAGTAAAACTTTTGTCTAAAGGCAGACTTTGTCCTTTTGTATTTCTACAATAAGGTCCAGCAGAGGTCTGCCCTCCTTTCACTTCCTTTCCTTTCTCTGAAGAGACTCAAAGTGGCCATGTTTGAATCAGTGACCATGCTGAGTGATGACTGCTCACCCTCACTGATCAGCACAGCAGGCACAGTTAAGAAGAGGCCTGAGAGTTTAATGCCCATGCCGCCATCATCATCATCCATCATGAATGATCTTTGAGCAGGAGCTGCTGTGCTGTATTTGAAGCTGACCTCTGACCTTTGTACATTACTGCGGTGGTGCCTCTTTTTCACTGTTAGCCTGACTAATAATGCAATTATCATAGTGATTTCAGATGGGAGGCATATTTTGATTTTATTGCATGCTGACTCAGAACCTGAAATTTCTTTCAAGGGTGTTTGATTTCCAGGCAGGTTTTTTTTTTTTTGTTTCAGATTAATTGGAAGGATCCATGGATGGATGGGTGTGTTTTTTTTCCCCTGTTCTCGCTCTGCTGATGCAGGTGATGATTTTGTTGTGTAATTCTACAGAAGTATTCATTCCTTTTTAACTTCATTTGAAGTATCTCAGGATTTGGTCAGAAAAGTACATTGTGTATAAGAGTAATGCAGATCCGCTAACAAACAGATTTCATAAATAAGATAAAACACTATTTGTTTTTTTAATTCTAAGATTTTAAGTTTCCGTTTCTGTTTTAAAAACACTTTTTTTTAAAGTTGTATAATAATAGATTGTTACCTGTGTAATTAACACACAAATACTTAAAGTATAAAGTTCTTCACATTACAGGAAGCTTTGGTAGGGAGCTTTGACACGTTCAGTGTTACCTGTTCCTCTAATGTTATGTTGGCTTGTTTTAATGCCATTTTTGTCACTGATGTCTCATCAAACATCTCCTGTTTGTAAAATATCAAAATGTCATTGAGAAACTGTCAAAGTTTGTATTTAGTAAAGGTTCTACATAAAAAGGAGGCTTCCTCTGAAATCATCCTCTGTGCCTGTGAGTCAATTAAATCTAAATCTATTGAATAGTTTCGGTGCTAAAGACGATTCTGCACAATTCTGTGAAAACAGGAAAACTACAAGTTTTAATGTCATATTTTATATGACATAAGAAAAGTTTTTATTATGTAGACCTGTCCTGCACGATCCCAAAGTTAAAACTGCTGACTATGCTGCTGTGAACTGGGCACTTAAACATCACACAGATACAGTAGAACAGTTATTTTTATAAATGGTCAAATAAGGTTAGGAGAAGGGGAGTTAGCATTTAACGCTCAGACTATTCAGGTGCAGACTCTTTGCGGCTGAAAACCTCAGTATTAAACTGAGTTTGTTTAAATGTAGACCTTTCTAAAGTACAGTCCCAAGCACCACTATTTTTTTTTACTGAAGAATATTTCGTCTTTAATGCAGAGGGTAAAAAGATCCATTTTACCTGTATGACAGTTATATGTCCACATCCGATGCCCTATAGTTATTGTTGGGAGAATGCCGAATGTTAAAGGGGGAACATTTTTGTTGTAACTCAGTTATTGAAGAAAACACATGACTGATAATTGTCTGTTTTAAGTTTATTTTTATGACACAGATTGGATCATGAGTGGGGAAACTGAGCATTTTTAGTTTTGTATAGTATTTTGACACATTTCATGTGTCAAAATAAAGGGGGGTTTAGGGTTTAATAATTTAATTGTTTAATAATTTAGGATCATTTTAGGACTTTTGGGTTTTTGATCATTTGGATATGGTAAAACTGAAACTGTTATTTTTATCTTAAGGTTAAAGGATTAAAGTGAACTGAATCCTGTTTAGTAGATACAATGCCAGTGTTTTAAAGCTGTATACAAATCTTAGAGGGAAATTGTGGGACACGTTGACAAAAAGATATGCTTTGGGGAAAACTAGTGAAGGTTGTAGGAGTAGAAAAGGTTTGATTTCTTTTTTGATTTCTAGAAGAAGTGGTTATAATGTAGGCTTACATACAGATATTACATAGATTTATTTTTAGGATAAAGGGGAGAGCTTATAAGTAGAAGTGATTTTTATACATATTGCATTTTGTGCTTTTAAAGGAGTTGTGGCTCAATTCATCTCTTGAGGGTCACGAGCCTTTGGCTAGCGCTATGATTAGCCAATCTACTGTGAGGATGAAATGTGAGTTATTAAAGGATTGCACGCGCTTACAGACACAGAGTCCAGAAACACACATGACAGTATTGATTCCAGGCAAAAGGCCTCAAATTCATTTAGCTTTTAACTGAACTTAAAGAAGGACCAAAGAGGAAGGAAAGCATATATTTTGGTTAAGTCTGATAAATTAGAATTAGAAGGTATTGTTACATTAAAAGGAGCAAAATGAAATAAAAAGGCTATACCAAAAACAGGTTATAACATAGGAAATGTGAGGTTTAAAATGAAGTTAGTGTTAACACACAGGAGTTGTTTTTAGGCAGCATTTAGCTATGATGAAATTTATGTAGGAGTAATTGCTTATATGCTTAAACTTAATTGATTAAAGTGGTTGTTTTCTTTTGGAGCTTTTAGTAGAATAGGCGCTTATAATGATTTTCTTGTTAAAAGGTGACTTAAGATTAGAGTAGAGGAACTTGCAGCAGCGACAATTTGTGATGATCAGATAAGGGAAAAATAGAGTGAGCAACCGAACGTGAAAGCAGCGCTTAAAGAGTTTTAAAGTGATGAGTAACGTTGAAGAATATATATAAATACAAGTCAATAAGTTAAAAACATAATTAGGATCAGGCTTTTGATTAAAGAGTCCCAAATAGGATAAGTTAGGGAGGTGCAGGAAAAGGTGTTTTGTTTCCTTTGCAGAAGATCTCGGCGACCACAGGAGGGGCGAGGATCCTGGAGATCTCGAGGCATGAGGAACCACAAGAGAGGGACCGAGAAAACCAAAGCTTACACATGGAGTGTTCTCGAATGGGAGCTGGTGTTTATTACTGGACCAATTAGATGACATGAGGTTGTCTGATTTGCTGAGCCAGAGAGGGTCAGAGCGAGGACACGATGTATTGCGACCTCTGGTGTGCCAGAGGTCGAGAGAGGGAATGTGGAGCAGGGAAATTATTTTACTGCTATTGTTGAATAATTGTCATCATTACCATTGCATTAATAATATAATCTGCAGTATGATCATTGCTTTACAATGTAACAGATAGCTTTAAGATGGCCTTAAGATGTTGATGCATACGGTTATCATATTAACTTTGTATTTCAGATGCAGTTATAACTATTTTATACACAATGCATATCTGTGCTTATTTTGAGTTGATGTTTGGTTCATTAAGGGTCTTAAGCTTCACTGGCGTGACTGTCCAGGTGATACATGCTGAGGAAAACTAGAACATAGAAAGATTGCGTACATGCTTACAAAACACTTATATCAGGTTATTTTTAATATCTTTTATATGCTTCATATTTTTATATTAAACTTTTAGTAGAGGTTCTTGATTAAAACATTTATTTTAAGCAGACGATATATCCATAGTTTCAGTTCGATTATTACATATACGAGAGTGGTTTCTGTCTCTCTGTCTGGTTAGAGGTCAGGAGCTAGTCGCGAGGTGAAACAGGGTGCGATTGTGGTTAGCACACACACACACACACACTCAGTTAGAGAGAATCATTTATAGGTGAAAGTTTAATCATGTTTTGCTGGGGTTGCAAAAAGCAGTTTGTCGCAGAACTGCTGCTGAGGTGTCAAGATGACAAGCGAGCATCCGGCAGTGACAGGATGCACCTGTAATGAAGATGGAAGACGATGTTCTTTTAAACTGTGTTAAAAGTCATTGTGGTTTTGAATGGATCTATGTATAAAATGTATCTGTGACGTTGAAGGGGCGTCAGTAAATCAAGCCCTGATGGTATAAAATATCTGTTTATGCTTTGATTAAGTCGAAGATCAATTGCTGTCTGTGTACAGAATGGTCTTCCCACGCGTGTATTCATTAAAATCATCGTTTGACTTCACCCGGCCGGATCAGTGTGGTTATTCTTCGATCACCTCTTGTACCCTTCCTCAATATTTGAACCTTAACAACATTAAAAACTGTAAAACTAGATGATCATGAGTAAAACTCACCAATCCATGGTTATACAGTTACTGTGAAGATTTTTGCATATAAACCAAGGATTTGTTTATGTTTGCTTGCCTATTATATTCTATTTGTGAAGATTAAACGACTCCAACGTTTTGTGTGCAAGGATGCATCTGCCTTTCTGGTCAGGTTAACCTTTATAAGACTGTGTGGGACCACAGCTGCAGAAACTTGGGCTACAGTAACATTTAACTCCCAGAAGTCAAATTTTGTTCTCTTAGACTTCTGAAAACAACAAATAAAAACTTTAGTGGGCAGATCATTAAAATAAAATGTGTAAAACACCGCTGACAAAGGGCAATGTTTGAGAATAAAGTCTGGTGGAAATCTTTTCCTTAATGGTCAGCCAAAATGAAATGGCTTCACTGGATGTGGCGTCACAGACAGAGGGATTGCTTGGCAGAGGTTTCTGGTAAACCTTTGCCTTTTCCTTAGATCCATAGAGCAGAGGAAAAGGTTTAAAAGAAGTCAAACTTCCAGCAGCATTTGTAGCAATGTAAAAAAAAAACACTAAAAGCATTTCAGCTTTTGGATGTCATTTTTATGGCATTTAAAGATGGTAACAAAACTAATTTTAAATGTCACCTTTTATTTTAAATTAATACTTTTTGATGGAAAGCTAGCAGCAAAAAAAACAACAACTTTCAACTGACTTGAAACTGGCTGATAAAGACCTGACCTGAAATATAACCACAAAAGACACCTGCTGCACAACCCAACTAAACAATTAAAATAAAAAAAAATGAAAATGTTTTGATATGGTAGACACATTAAGAGCACACGGTGCCTTTGAAAAACAACTTTTTTAAATCCAAGTGTTTCCTTTTTTTTCCCATATAGAGAATGACCTTGGTGGGACAGCGTGTCCTTGGATTGTCAAATAAAACCCTTCCTGAGTCTGTTTTTCTGAAGAAAAATGCTGTCACTGCTGCGCACAGTAAGCAGCAGTTAAGAGTATTTTTCTGCCAAAAAATGCCTCGGTCCAGAGTCCCACCCATCCGCTTTCAGACTCTGACTTGCAGTCAGGGCCTGACACGACTAAACACAGCGTCCTGAGCGTCCTGTTGGATGCAAGCCATCGTCGCTCATAGCGTCACTGCTTCTTCTGGAGAACATAGATTACAAGCTGTCTGTGACAAGAAAGCCCTTCAAAACTTCCCCTCAAGTCTTGTAGTTTCAGCATGTTAAAAATTATTTTAAACTCTAACAAAGGACACAAAAACACCAACAGCCACAACGTTATCTTGTGATAGAGAGACATACCGCTGGATCTTTGGTGCAGCAGGAAAAGGGCACTCCACATTTTTCACGACTCGGGTTTGAATCAGTACAGTTGAAGTAGATGTTCAAATTCCAGTCATCAGCCCCAAAAGCTCCACAACACTCCCACTGCAATAACATATAAAATACAAGGTAAAAATACTAGAAAGAAATCGGTGCCACAAATAAAGAAACGTTGCTTACATATTCCTGGGTGAAGTCGATCAGGTTCTGCAGATCAATGTCATCTCTGTAGGCCCGAATGTTGTTATTAATGAAAAAATTGAGCTGGTCCTTGATCCAGTCTTTGAAGACAAAGGCCAGGACTCCAGCAGTCAGCTCAAGAAAGAAAATAATGCCCAGGAACACGGAGAACTGAAAAACATGAGAATTTTCTGAATATAATAACTGTTATGAAAACAAGAAATATAAAGAATTATAGATTTCTGAGAAAGCCTTTAACAAACATACAAACTTGAGCAGGAAAGAGTTTTCCCGCAGCGCTCCAATGCAACCAGCAAACCCGAGAATGAACATCACACCACCCACGACAAGGAAGAGCCAGACAGGGTCAAAGCCCCCCAGGTCAGTGATGGATGAGATGTTGGACAGAACACCCTGGGAGCAAATCACGTGAGGTCAAACTCAACTGAAAAACCACTGAAATATCATCACATTGCTAACATTCTTCCCAGGTAAAGTAATCATTTTGTAAGCATGTTTAACACCCAAATTTCATAAAGTACAATCCAAACCAATGTAAGCAATTATTTAAAAGAATTTAATAATAAAATTGTCAATTGTTTTTGATTTTTGGGAACAAGCTAATTTACTCTTGCTCAGAGCGAGCAAATGTAAATATGTTTTAATTGACTTAGCTTATCATATATTAGCTACGATTAGCTTCCTGGATCTGTACAAAGCTAACCAACCTAATTTGATTTTTCAATTTCTGCAGTGACGAAACAAACAAGCTCTAGCATGTAAACCAGTGAGCTATAGATATGCTATTAAAGTTGTGTCAGAAGTTGACATGCACCTATCATTAGCATGAATGCCATGGTAGTGTTGGTATTGTTTTCTTTGAACTGCTCTTTTACCAGGGTAGAATGATTGTATAGCAAAGTCTAGGCCTATTAACTTGGTAGTGATCATGACTGACCACAACTAGATCACAACTTTATCAGCATAAAAATGATTTGTTTGACAGCACTCACTGAATTCTTCAATACAACAGCGTAAAAATCGAAGGAATTCAAATTGGGTAGATCTCTTGAAGTCATTTCTAAACAACTTCACATTTCAAGACTATCAGTTCAAACAATTCTATGTAAGTATAAGTTATTTGAATGTGTCACCACATCCACCAGTTCCAGCTAAAGTCTGGTAGAAGATCCAAGCCGTCACACTCGGATGAACGGTAGTTGGTTAGGATGTTCAAAAATTAAGGTTCAAGCCTGCTATGGACTGGAAACTGCTGAAACACCAGCGTCACTGTCTCCAGTCAAGCGAGTGTTTCATCACAGAAAGAAGCCCCTGGTCCAAAATCAACACTTTCAAGCTCAATTGAAATTTGCAGCTTTTGACAAGTCAAAAGGGCAATGATCCAAATACACATCAAAAGTGGTTTTGGGATAGATAAAGCAGGCTAACATTAAGCTTCTGGAGTGGCCTTCCCAAAGCCTGACCTCAACCCTTTTGGGTATTTATGGACTAAGCTTAAAAGCCAGGTCCATGCCAGGAACTTTACCAATTCTGCCAAGGTGAATGGTCAAATATTCAGGCAGAATTATGGCAGAAGCTTGTTGATGGCTACCAAGGTGCAACTAAGGGACATTTGACCAGATATTATAAATATGTATATATTTGAACCTGCATTTATACTTTTGACCCTGTGTGGATTAGAGAAAATCCAAATAAAATTTAAACCTGTGCCATTATTTTTTTCTGAAGATTAAAGGTACATACTGTGCAATAATTCTGTGCTGGAAAAAGAACACATTCAAGCCCATGATGCTGTATGTAGATTTTCTTACCTCTAGATAGAGCCTGGCTAGCTGTTTGTTTTTGTCCAAAGCTAACAGTCTAATTTAACCCACACTTTTTACACCATACATTTGACATTATATTAATCTTAAAGTTAATCAACCCATTATAATAATTTAGCAATTAACAATTAAATAATATTAGTTGTAGTCACGTATGTAGGATGAGATAACAATCAAGATCTTCAAATGTACTTTGGTGAAAAAGTGCTCTCAGTAGATTGTCTGCTTTTTGCACTCTCAGTACACAATGAACAAATCTGTGAAATGCATCAGATCAATTCATAGCCCATTGTTCATGAGTCCCACAGGAAAGCACAGCATTCCTTTCTGATTCAGTAAAGCCATGGTGACCATTCCTTGCACGCAGTCGAGTATAAACCACAACGATATGCCGGTTTGTGGAATATTTGCAGATACCTGTAAGTAAAAAGCTTCACAGAAATAAGTCCTGCAACTTGTTATTACACATTAATATACGACTAACCTTTTCACTCCATGCCCACAAACCAATGGCAAGAAACGCTACTCCAAGGAACTGACAGAGGCAGAAAAAAGAGAAACAAGAGAACAGGATTATTTTGCTGTGACTGCTACATGTAGTCATCACACAGACGCACACTGACAGAAACTACAGAGAGATTTTCCTGGCAGTGGTCCATTACTAAATATTTCTCATCCCAGTCTGCAGGATCAGCAGGAGGCTTCCACATTAGAAAGCATCTTTAAACAGCTTGACTGTACATAACTGTACGCCGCAGTGTAGAAGCAGTAATCTGGAATATTATTACTATGACAGTAATATGATTTAATATTTTATGGTAGTTTGTGTTTACAAGACTTTTTAAATCTTGTGCTAATTACTTTCATATGTTTTTAATAAACACCTTATTTAATTGTCACATTTCCATGCCTTTTGTTACTTTCACATTCACTTGCAATGAGTTTTGGTTTTCTATTTGAAATAACTTTTTTACATCCTACTCACCACAATGCACTTAAAAAAAAGCATAGAGACAAACTCGGTAAAAAATATTTACGCTTCAGTGTCTACTGTGATACATCTTCACTGACAAACCATGACAAGAGAAACTTGAGAAAAACAGTATACTTTATAAGCCACTTCATTTGTGAGGATTTCAACAACAATTATTGTTGTTGGATATGCTTTTATCCAAGAACACCTTCACTAATAAAATTAAAACTCCACTAACTTACCAGGACTTTAACAAGCACTAAAATAAAGATGAGAAATAATAGGTTTTTGAATAACTGATTTTAACTGAAGTCTTTTGTTGAATTAGACACATTTATTCACCAGATAGAAGCACTAAGGACTTTTTTTAGATTAAAGATAATGAACTTTACAGACCATCTCAAGTATTTGTTTGTGAGACAGCTGTTAAGGCAGGGGAACAGTTGTTTGGGACATAAGCAGCTGATACCTGAATGACACAAAGCTCAAAGGGGCCGATTGCTGTACAGTTGGCTGAGAGCTTTTCCACAGCCCAAAGGCCTTTGTCTCTATCAGTCCCCGATACGTGAAGAACCACTGGGCACACCAATGCCATTCATGGCTTAAGTAGCATGTGCTGAATTTAGTGTATTTTTTAGCTTCTTTGTTTTATTTAATTTTTTTATGTCAGTTAGCACAAGTCAAAATTACTGATATAAATAGGTGAATAAAAAAAGATAGGCGCTTTGGCCGAAAGTCCCACACTCCCACACCGCAATGACTTACCAGGACACTTGAACTGTTACTAATATCATCAGAGATGTTGTCAGCATCTGTGTTTTCCCCACAATAACAAGACAAAATCCCTGCTGTTAAAAAGGCCTTATATGGCCAACGGTGCCTATCAGTAGGACTGCTGCAATTTACTGTATCTGTATTTGTATTCGTATGTAGACAAAAGTAGATATGCCCATATTTAATCCATCCAAAGAACATGCCGTATATGATGCTGTGGAGCAAGCAGTTCATTTGTTGGCACCAAATATGATAATGAACAAATGTCTCAGGCAGCACCAGGCTCAGTGGTTAGCACTATGGCCTCAAGGCCGGACAATCCTGGTTTCAAACGCAGGTATGACCCTTCTGAGTGGCCTGTGCATGTTTTACAAAGGAGCTCCTGTTATCCAAAAAGGTTAATGCTGCATAGCTCTGCCGATACACCCTCAAAAACAAAATTCTTACTCTCAACGTTTTCTTGAGCGTCTTGGATCACTACATTATGTGAAGTTTTATTCTGCTATTTCAGCCAAACTGTTTATTGACTGACGGACGATTAAAAAAATATGACAGAACAATCAGTGATGAGCATAATGTCCCTGCTGTCTCTTATTCAAACCAGGCCACACTATTTCATACATCACTTATAAGTTAGGCATTGTTTTCTGCGACCAATCCTCTAAATCCACTGATTATTCTACTTACTTTAATGCAAGTACTGGAGAGGCAGCCACTATCAAACAATTAACACTTGGACTCACTGACAGCGTTTTTGCTTTAAATGAGATAAAACAATGAATCGATCAAAACAGTCACTGTTTAAATCGATTAATCGCTGCGGTTCTACGAGAGCATCGCTCTGTTAATAACTTAACTAACCATTAGTAAAGCCTACCCCACCTTCCCTCATCAACAACCTGTGAAAAAAGCACCCATGCGGGTTATTGTTTCAAGCCAGGAAGTGGCGGCCCACGGTGACTGTGGGTTTAAAAGACGGAATGTTTGTTTTTTTCCCCCGCGGTTTCACTCACGCATAGAAAAGGTGACGGCTGTTTTCTCAACCTAAACATCACCACGAAAAAAGAAGAAAAAAAGGCCTCAGCTGAAGGCTACGGTCATGTAAACACGCGATGATGCCGAGAGAGAGAGCTGTTCTCACTCTGATGGAGGACACACGAAAACAAAGCGGGCTGATGGGTGACAGGGAGCAAGTGCACAGGAGCAAAAGAGAAAGTGGAAGCGAATCGAAACCCAGGACAACATAGACACAACAACAAACACATACGCACACATAAATGCACCTCACAGCTGCTGATTGGGAACAAAGAGCGTGTCAGCGTGTTAAACTGACGATGGCAGGCCTGAAGTCGCAAACAGCAGACGGGGGACTTACCCAGAATATAATGTTGAATCCGAAAATGAAATACTTGATGCAGCAGCTCACTTCGTGAGCCTTGAAATGCTTTCCTGACATCATCTGGATGGATTTTGTTTTCCTTCGCCGCCTCTGCAACGAGCAGGACTCACATTTGCAGCTGTTCTGTGTTTGGCAGTCGGGATCCTCTGGAAACACCCTTTAATTATTTTTTTTAAGGGCTCAACACATGCCGCCCTTTCTAGCGTCTAATTATTAACACCATCTTGATTTTGTGCGGATAAAAGTCGCAGATGAAGCCGTCGGGGAGCGTTCACAGTCCGTCGGCGTCCCTCTACAGATCTCAGCTTTTACCCTGCGTAGATCCTCAGAGGTGTAACGCTGAAATAAACCACAGTGAAAGTCAACCAGATTAAAACCGACGGTCTCCTATCTGACCCGTAATCTAGACATGGCTGTTATTTGATTGCCATGTCTAGGAACCAATGATTTCTTTTAGTGATCTGAGAAGGCGGGACTTCCTCCATGAGAGGGTCTCTAGCCCCATTACAGTGGCAGATAGTACTGGTTACGAGGTAGTTAATCATTTATAGCAGAATTTATTACCCATTAACTAAATACGTGTATGATATACGACAGGAATACATAAGTAAACTTCATCACAACCATCAGGCTATTAGGCAATAATAAGGCTATAAGGCTTGAAATAGTAATTCAAGTTGTAGTGGAATAAATAATAATTCATTCATGCAGTTTTTTGAGGCTGCGGGGTATTAAATCAATCAATAAGTTAAAGACTAATAAACATGGACATCTTAGTTGATGTTAAATATTAAAATTAATATATTTTTGAGACAGAAACAGGATTGAGTTGCTTCACCAGACTTTATTACAGGTCATTTTGTAATGCGAACTTTATGCTTTTATCAGCAAGAATTGAAATAGAAAGTATAAAGAGTATAATTACAAGTGTAGTTACAGAAAATATAAATTAAGTGTTTCCTTTAGTTACTTGAAGGTTTTTATTGAATATTTAAGATTTCATGTTTTTAACACATTACCTCACATTGTCTTTTCCAAAGACTTGTTTAGTCCCGATGAAGAAAGAATTCCAGAGAACACCGAAATAAAGCAGGCTGGATCTCATGTTTCACTCTTGTGTTTAAATGTCAGCAAAGAAAAACAAAATAAAGTTCCAGTTTAATGAGACACAAACTGCCTAGATGCGATGCTTCTTTATTGTTTATTTTCAAAACGCACTTAAATTTTCTACTTTCTTAGGCTTAATCTTTATAAGGTGGATGTGATGCTTACGCCTTTTGGAGGGTGTAACTGTCCCTGCTTTATATTTTATTTACAGTGTTCTTTTGAACTTGTAATTTTGCTGTTTTAAACATCGGTACCTTCTTAGAAATTACATTTAACTTTACAGTAGATCAGCGTGGCATACTGTTAAAATACATTTGGCCTTTATTATAATGTACATGTGGATTAGGGCAAATATACATGTGAAAAAATAAGCATCCTCGTGATTCAGTAGCTTGTACAACCACCTGCAGCAGCAATAAATGTGACTCCATCAGTCTCTCACAGCATTGTGGAGGAATTGTGTCCCACTCTTCTTTACAGCGTTGCTTCAGTTCATGGAAATTTGCAGGCATCGACTTGTGCACCACTCACTTAAGGTCCCACCTCACTGTTACAGTCAGCCTGAGGTCTGAGCTTTGACTGGACCTTGATTCTTTTCCTTTTCAGCTATTCTGTTATAGATTTGCTGCTGCGCTCAGGATCATTGTGCTGTTGTGTGGCACAATTTGGACCAAGCTTTAACTAGCAAGCCTCCTCTATCCAAAGGAGAAGTCTTGCACTTTTCTTAGATGAAACTTGCAAACCTGCAAGTCTAATCTCTAGATGTATGCTCGATCATCCAGGTAAGGAAATCCCAGAAAGCTGTTCATCTGAACAATATGTTTTCAGCTGGAGAAATGTCTCATCACTCATCCAAGTGAATTCTTCAGTCTGAAGAAGACTTGAAGTCACCTGGATGAGTGACAAAATGTTTCTTTCACAGAGAAAGGGATAGAATGAACAGAATCGGCATTCTTGAATTTGCAACCCTAAACCATTCTACCGTATTATAGAGAAGAGGCAACCCTTTCAAACAATGCCAGACCCCCACCCCTTTTTACTATCATTTAACATGCTAAATGAGGCCTGCTTTTATAGAGGCGCTCGCAATTGTTAATTTATTTAATCAAGTGGATTTGATTAGCAGCACCTGGCTAATGTTGTTGAACAAGTAAGAATGCTGTTAGTTGTTCACATGACTTTATATTGCCATGCATATTATTGGATTTGTCATTTTAAAAAGAAAATCTGTTCACATGTACTACTTTTGGTATGAAATTGAAGAAATATTTGATTAATTCAATGACAATTTTATTATTTATTTTATTCACTTATATTGAAAAGTGACAGTTCTATAGATTTATTTAATTAGATGTGGGAAAATTTCGCCCCCTAGTGACTAAAATTGTGTTCTGCATCACTGTAAGTCAGCCTGCTGAAAACCTACAAGAGTGGCAAAAGTGTACAGTGAAACAAGCACTTCTGATGAAGTATTTATTCCAAGATAAACACGGAATAGACACAAACAGTCATTTGGGGGATTTATTGAGTTTTATTGCATAAAATAATATATTAATTATCTAATCTATTACACATATTCATTTACAAAAAAAAGGATCATTAATGAAAATAAATATTTCTGTGCAGTTTATTTGCACTGTCAAAGCAGGCAGAGAAATGCTGAGATCTATATACATGTAGGTTAATAAAAACACATTAAGTCATAGCCAAGACAACCTTCATGATGCAGACAGAAACAGGCTGCTGCTTTCAAAGTCCTTGATCTGATACTAATTCACTGACTTACTTCCCAAGTATCATCACTCAACAAACCCACCGTCATCGTTTCCCTGTATAATTTGCAGCACAGTTTTATGTACTCATTGCATTGTTAACATTTTCCATTCCACCCAAAAGGCTTCTCATGAAGATACATTAAAAATGTTTATCAACAAAGTTAGTAATAATGCTATATCAAAATTATTCACCTTCACCTTTGGCTGCACTTCACGTAGAAAAATATAAACGGTTTATAATAAGAAAATACATCATGTTGTTACAAAACTATTGCTTCAGAATATCACCAAAATACTTGTTTTCTTTGTAAAACATGATTCATTTGACCTTTCATGATTGCACAAGTTATTTTGGTTGTTTGAGTTCCCAGAGTCCTCTGTGGGAGGACAGGGGTAAAATGATATTAGTTAAAAGGCTAGAGGCAGATTTCAGGAGCATGTCCAAAGTAAAAAAAAGAAAAAAATGCTTTGGAGAGCTTTGTGTTTCAGGGATTTGGTCTGCAGCATTCAAAATACATCCCTTTTGTATCCTATATGCATTTTTTTTCCTTTTTTGCCAAATAAAAAGAAAATTAAAGTTTTAGCTTTTGGACGGAGAAATTAACAAATCATACCTCCAAAGACTACAACTGCTAGCAGATACCGGATGGTTTGGCATCTTCTTTCCAAACATTTTCTAAAATTGCAAAGCACAATCACCTTCATTCTTCTTTGGAATCCATTATTTAGTGTTTAAGGCCAAACAAAGTTTGAAATAATAATAGCCCTGAAGGTCAGTTGAGAAGTCTGGGTTGAAAGCAAAAACATTCGGGATTAGAGGCTAAACACAAGCAAGCTAATTGTTTGATTAAATAAATGTAGATATTATATCTTAAAATGCTACGTTCACGTCACATTCAGATTTTTGGGTTTCTACATTGGGTGCCAATATTAAAAAGGTACCTGGTCATTCACTAATATATGAATGGTATTATTTTCTTGAGAGTATTATTGCCTATTTAATTAGGAAATATATACAGGTATATATTAAACACTTTCCTCATTTACTATTCTAAAAAAAAGAAAAAATTACAGTAGCATCCTTAAAGTAAAACTGAACAGATCTGTAGCAGAAATGTCCCATGTGTTTCTGATGTTTTTCAGCAAAAAGCCTGAAAGCACGGGCGGGCAGACGTACAGCACAAAGGCTTTGCATAAATGACCTTTGTGTAACGCTTTAGTAACATTTTATGAACCAATAAAGCTTGCTGTTGATTTGCTGAGTGTATTAGCAACGTGACACTTTAATGCGTGACACATTAATCACAGTTAATAAATTCAGTGCTTTATTGTTTCTAAACATGGTTTCATGACTGCACTCATGAGGTGCTATGTTTTTTACTCTTGTAAAGGCAACATAACTCTTTACAGTGAGGTTTTCTCAGTTCCCAGAAAATGTAGAAAATCTTCTCTTTAAAGAAGTATGAAATGTAAAATACTAACACTTAAACTCTTAAGAGATTTTAAATACGTCTTATGCAAAGCCTGAGATACGTTTGTAACACTGTAAAGGTTTCTTGGCTTTGATATTTAAGAGTAGTTGTGTATCGTCTAAAACAACCTGTTGTTCTTTGACCGAGTTGCATAAACATGAGCCAAATACAAAATCCTTTCGGTCGGCCAAGACGTGCATCACGTATATCCTCAAGTCACAAGAGCACCAAGTTGATGCAAGATGAGTCACAGATGCTGTGTCTCGGTGTGAACGCATCAGCGTTGCTTTAAGTCACCTTTATAGTAGACTTATGGACGCAGAGTAGGGAGACATATGGCACACCAATGAAGGCCCATTTCTCACTGGGCCAGAACATGATGACGGGACCTCGCTCCGGTGCCTCGGTAGCAACATCAAAGTAGGCGAAGCAAACGCAACCCAAATAGGAAGCCAGACAGATGAGGATGTGCCTGTAAGAGCAAAATGATCACGAATAAGCCTAACCTCTGACATGATTTACAGGCACAGCTGTAAAAGTTTAACAGTGTCTTGTTTTCCCTGAAACAAATCTGGGGAAACCTGCAGTCAGCTCAGACTGAAGAAGTCACTTGAATGAGTGACAAAAGGTTTCTCCCACTGAAAACGCTACATCCAGATGAACAGAATCAACTTTTTGGGATTTTTCCAACTACTTCTGCAGCCATGTGAAAAAAGAAAGTTTTCGCGGGACTCTATGCAGTTTGAAAAATAAAACATTAAAATAAGCAAACTTGTATGGCTTTCATAGGAATTCAGAGGGTAAGTAACAGTCAGGTTCTGGTAAACAATTGCACTTGATTAACTAATTACCAGTAAGTGTGAACACTTCTATAAAACCAGAAGTTTTGACAGTTTGCTGGTCTAAAACATTCAGGTATTGGTTCTCACAATGACAGCCAATTCACCTGAGACCATGCAGAGAAATTGCAAAATAACAACAGCTACATCTCAGAACCGCATTTAGCATATCACATGTTAAAGTTCAAGACATTATAATAATAATTATAATAATAATAATAACGTATACTTTATTGATCCCCGTGG